CAGAGTCGCAGAGAGAGGTCGATGACTTACTAAAGGAAGTGCATTTAATAAATCTGCCGTTATAAGTAGGGTCGTTTTAAGGATTCTCGTTTGTATTCTCTCCCGAATATTAAACCTCATCATTCAAACTGGCAGATTTTTTTTAAGGGGTGAAAATCATAGAATGACTTCTCCCGCCTGGGTGAGGCGGAAGGGAGTGCCAGACTCTTACTGACTAAAAACCACCCCGTTCCTTCTCCTGCACGTCGAGCCGGAGCCCCGGTTACCCGTTAGGTTCTCCGCGACAAACTGGCAGATTAAGATTTCATTTCGAACCATTTTTTATTTGGCATCATCATATTTTCAAAATCCAGTCCCGACGCTGCTCGAGTCAATTCAAACTTAACATCGTGGTCTCCTGTACAGTAGTTCATACTTAGTAAAGTATGATAGATATTTTATGAAAGATTTCTGTAGAGCGAGATTGGCAAGAGAGACGTAGAGGGCATCCTAGGCAAACGTAGACCAATTTGATGGCGAATTGGACCTAATTAGGAGTTCCCTCTACAGGCAATTACACAAAGAAAAATTGAAGTGGTAGTACTGTAAACGGTTGGCGAAATCGTGAATCTACACCAAACGAAAGGCACGATTGGTGATATGAATTTTAATGTTCATTAAAGTTTATTAATGATTTTTTTATTGCTTTACGTTCAAAAATATAAAAACAAGCGCGGAGTGCTGCTGTTAATATAATAGGTCGCATTGTAGACATAATTGCATATTCATTTATGATTGAACTATTCAGGTTTTTTCAAGTTGTGAGTAGTATTGAGTGTTTTGTAATCTGCTATAAACTAGTCTTCCGCGATAAGATAACCTGCGCCCTCTGTACTGAGTAGTGACTAGTGATGTGAACCTGGTTTGGTGCTCGCGTGTTACATACATTGCAATGCTTTTACTCATCGTCGCCAGCCAATACGGTGTTTATTGGCGTCTGCAATCGATCCTTTACACTCATTGCACTCGGTATAATAGTCAGTTGATATACCTACCTACGTACAAACATAAACTCACAACTTCGTCCCATATCTACGATCCTTACGTACTTCTCTAGCATTGATCACTTTTATGCTTCTTTTATCATACAAGAAGGCCGAATAACAGTACTCCGCACCTTACCCTTTTGCAGTATCTCTTGTACGAGGCCAGCATGCGTCTTTCTACGGCCGCTCATATCTGTGTTACCACTAACTTTTAAAAAAGTTGGATATAATTTGTGTGATAATGGCGGTACATAAATTGTTTTATATTTCATTCGGTTATCGGACGATATCAAGTAAGTTTATTCATGGAATATGTACCCCCGTTTGACATTAGCAACAAGCCTGCCTACGCGGTGCCTACCTGTCTATGTGAAATTAGGTACTAGGTACTGGTTATGTGGAGAACTGCGGGATCATGACAAGTACACGATGCAGTGCCTGGCAAGCGCGTGGCTGGTGTCTCTGGTCTAATGTCCTGGCCTCGGGTCGCCGCTCCCGGAAATGGGCCGTATATAGCACGTCGCGGCGCCGCGACACACCTTCACGCGCTCTCTTACCAAATCGATTGACGTCACATCAGATAGGGACTTAAAATACGTACTGGTACAATATTTCATGTAATTTTTTGAATATTTTACAAGTTTTTTGGGCAGCTATGAGGTGGCTATTCCGCTCCCAAAATGTTTGAAAACACAAAGGAACCTTAACACCGGCGTTATGGTTTACGCTTGATTCAGTTAGAGTTTACGAAAGTAAATGAACAACTTTCTGTTGAAGTGATTGCACGGTGCTACTACTAACTACGAACTAAAGTATCTGTCGGCCTCATCCGGATACTAACTTTCCATAGATTTAATTACACGCTTAATCTAAGTTCTAAGCTTAGCGAGCTCTCGCGCTCCTTTAACATTGAGCCCATGGAATCAGTCAAAACAGTTCGGTATCGTGGTGGCCTGTCGCGGTGAACCTAACGGGTAACCGGGGCTCCGGCTCGACGTGCAGGAGAAGGAACGCGGTGGTTTTTAGTCAGTAAGAGTCTGACACTCCCTTCCGCCTCACCCAGGCGGGAGCAGTCATTCGATGATTATCCCCCCCTTAAAAAAAATCGTGGTGGCCTGGGTGGGTTCGAATTCTAGCTAGTACCAATACGGCTTTTTTGGACCTGGACTTTATCTTATCACATATCTTATACTCTTATATAAACCGGAAGAGTTTGTTGTTTTGTTTGTTTGAACGCGCTAATCTCCGTAACTACAAGTCTGATTTGAATAATTATTTTTGTGTTGGATAGTGCATTTATCGAGGATTGCTATAGGCTATAAAACATCACGCTACGAACAATAGGAGCTGAGCAGAGCGTGTGAAACCGCGCAGTAGTAGCTAGTTTTATTATAAGCTTAAATTCGCCAATGAACAAACGTGCTAATTAATGCACTCTCCGTGTGAGAAGAAGGCTTTGCTTAACAGCTGTGTGCACATTAGGTTCATGATGACGAAGGCTGGTAGAGAATGGCATCCAGCATTGAGCCCGCCATTGTATACACATTTGTACATAAAGTGTTAAAATAAATAAATAAATAGCCCGTAGGGTCAATTTACTTAACGCTATTACGTCTCATTCGTCTACTTTCTCTTGTCAGACGTCATATTACTTGACTGCTATTTTCTAATTCAAAACTACGCCCACGTCACCCAACCTATTTATCCATATTTATTTTGTCATCCTCTTCTTTTTTATAAGCTTTTATTTTAAATTTGCAATTTACTAGCTTCTGCCCATGACCATGAGCCTATTCCAGGCCATAATCTCTCCCTATCCCAAACACCCCAATCCCTTCAGCCGTTTTGATGTAATTGAGTAACAAACATACACACAAACTGACTCACAAACATACACACAAACTGACTCACAAACATACACACAAACTGACTCACAAACATACACACAAACTGACTCACAAACATACACACAAACTGACTCACAAACATACACACAAACTGACTCACAAACATACACACAAACTGACTCACAAACATACACACAAACTGACTCACAAACATACACACAAACTGACTCACAAACATACACACAAACATACACACAAACATACACACAAACTGACTCACAAACATACACACAAACATACACACAAACTGACTCACAAACATACACACAAACTGACTCACAAACATACACACAAACTGACTCACAAACTTTCGCATTTATTATATTATAAAACGCTCACCTTGCAACGGCCGTGCACCAGAAATTGCAATATTTTAATTTCGCCATAACTTCAATAATTACAGTTTATTTAAAACTGTACTTAGTGGTGAAATAATTTATTTTAATCCCTATCGGATTAATAGCATGAGTGAAATAAACTCGTTTAAATGTAGTCCAAAACCATTAGAATTTTGAAATAAAAAAAAATATGTAAGGAGTGTGTGGCGCGGTCTTGTTTCTGCATATTTATAAGATCGACAATTATGTAGAATATTTTATGGTTCTTTTATATAGTTTGAGCAGCGAGCGCAAAATAAGTAACTTCTCTGGTTGATTTTTTTCACCTTGTGTCCGAAAAACCAAATATCTTTCGGAGCCCTATTTTTTACAAAATAAAGTATATAATAGCCTGTGTTACTCGTGGATAGTGTAGCTTTCGAATGGTGAAAGAATTTTTCGGTCCAGTAGTTTTTTAAGCCTATTTATTACAAACAAACAAATATACAAACGTAGATTTACTTTTTATAATATTGTATTGTAGATACATACATACTTATACTAACCTTACGCCTGTCTCCCATGGCGGTAGGCAGAGACTATGGAACTCCAATTGCTACGATCCTTAGATACTTGTTTCACTTCCTCAACAGTCGTCAGTCTTTTCATACATGCTCGTCGGTTAAGGGTACTTTTAATTTGGCCCTTCTTTAATATATCGCCAATCTGGTCGATATCCGCACGTCTAAGACGCTCTCTACCGACGACGGTCTCATTCATATCTGCTCTGTATACTTCGTATTCGTGTAAAATATTAGTAAGATTAGGATACGGAACACGAGGAGCCTGTAACTCACTGGTACCTCAACCTTTAAGTTGGAGAAGTGATAGTTTTTATGGAATATTTGTCTACTTCGATTGTTGAGTGGGGTCTCATTTGTATAGGTACTATTTACATGTTTGTGGATACCTAATATCTATCCATTTTTAATTTATTCCCCCCTGTTCTAAGTTGATAGCGTTGCCTTTTAGTTTGTTTCAGTCTGGATTTAGACTTACTTACCCAAGAATTGAAAATTTAAGGTTTTTAATATAACCGTGTATTCATGTACATTTTTTACCATGTTTGAACTACAGCTAAGAAATATGTCGCGGAAAATGCATCGAATGTAACCGAATCTGATTCAAAGCAGTAAGCAATCACTCATAGTCATCGACCGCGAAATGCTTTCATGGGTTCAATGGCCATAAATCGTCTTCCAAATCTATGCTTTAGGAAGTGAGGCTTTATTTATAGAGTTTGAAGTACGCGTCGCTCGCGCACGATGCGTGTTGCGCGGTGTGCCGGCGCGGCTGTGCTGGCGCTCGTCACTGCCGAGGCCAGGGGGGCGCAGTGGTCGCGCGGAGTCGCGCGCGCCCAGTCACGGTCGGTGCTTCGCTAGTCTCGGTCACACCGCGCGTCGCCGCCGCTTGTTCCAACGCCGTATCATCGCGCAGTATTTTTGTTTTTTAAATCGCTTAAGAGTGCTAGTGATAATCCGATACCGTTTCGCCAATAGCGAGCATCAGTGGTAGCTACGTGTACGACAAAGCGTTGGCCGTTGCTGTGTGCCCGCTCTGTGCCGAATTGAAATTGTTCACGCTAACGAAACGTCGAGATAAATTCTTCGAGAGTGCATTTACAGGGGATTTTGTACGTACAGTTACAGTATCCTTGTGTGAGTTGATAGTGTCGCTTTTTGTGAAACACGATGAGGCCGAAAGAGGAGGCTGACATGAAAGTCCAAACGGGGACATTCATTCTGTCTGAGAAAATTGACGACACAAAGTCGAAGAAAAGCGAAAAAGAAATTAAAAAGGAGATGAAACGGCTCGAGAAAGAGAAACAAGAGAGAGAGAAGAGGGACAAAAAAGCAAGAGAAAAGGAAAAAGAGCGAGAGAAACAAGCAAAGAAAGGTCAGTTTATTAGTAGAAACGTGTTATAGAAACAAGTGTAGCCTTATCACTGAGTCACGTTATCATGATGTCATCTCTACTTTGCTAGGTCTGTCCTTCTGCGAGGCTGCGACACGCGTGACACCCGACAGTAATAGAGTTGCTCATTAACAACGTCCACATTAATCCGAGTATTCCGAGTCTATTGTTGTTACGATTACATCATTAGTGACTTGACTTGACCTTGACTGACGTCATTTATCAAGAATTCTCGATGATTACTCAGTACTTATAGCGGACTGATTATGTTTATCAGTGGAACTATTGGTAGTTGTCTCTGAGAGCTGACGATGTTGTTTCGGAGTTCTCTTACAGGACCCATCATTTCCTTTGGGTAACACATTACAGCTCGTCGTCATTATTTATTACGCGTTCCGAATCGCATAAACTCGTTTAGAATAAACAAAGATACATAATATTATACATGCTGCAGATATTGCTGCAGCAGTGCAGCTGCTATACAGCTGTAGTTTTCACGTTATTAGTACTATTTCTATGATTATAGAGGTAATTTGTAATAATAGGACTACAGATGTTCTAAGGGCTTTTAATAATAATTAGAAAGTGTCGCTATGTACCTATTATGTTGTTGTTGTGTGTCTGTGGAAGGCGTCGTCTACATTTTCAAATTTTAGTTGATGCTAATACAAGTATATTCACTACATAGAATATAACAAAGTCGCTATCCACCGTCTGTCTGTCCCTATGTATGCTTCGATCTTTAAAACTACGCAACGGATTTTGATGCTGTTTTCTTTTATAGATAGAGTGATTCTTAAGGAAGGTTTATATATATAATACATGCATAGTGCACCCGTGCGAAGCCGGTGCGGGTCGCTAGTAATTTATATTGTGATAAGTACAGTTAGATTATACAATTTTTCTTTTGTATCGATTTAGTTACCCTCGTGTCTGCTGGAAATTACAACTCTGCATCTATCTTAACGAGTTCTTTTACTAGCTAATCCTGGTGGTTTCACTCTCTCTGCTCGATTCCTATTTATCGCAGCGTGATGTTTTATACAGCCTTGCTCGATAAATTAACTAGTATTAACACAAAAAAAACAAAACAACGATTTGTTTGAACGCGCTAATCCAGGAACTACTGGTGCGATTTGAAGAAATAGTATAAGATAAAAACAAAGACAGTTCCAGTATAATCATTCATTTCCAAAGTTTATACACTTACTACAACATTCTTGAAGCATTTCTTAGTTTAATTTTGCGAACAGGCGACATCCTCGGGGAGATATATATATATTTGTGAAATAGTTTGAAGACTAACAGTGATGGTCGTATGTAGCCTTCTGTCTTACAATTGTGGATAAGATAACCTGACGAATAGATATAGTCTGCACTGGACTTTAATTTCAGTTTCACTTGTATCGTGCTCGTTACTACCCTTGCGAACGTTTGGCTTGAAAGGACAATTAAGGTTTACCATGACATGCGACCCCTTTCTACTGGGTCGCGCAGTGTTTACATGCAAGCACTGGGCAATGTCGTCGCCGTCCCGCGTGCATAGGTGCATAGCGTCACGACTTCGCATCCGATTCAACGGATTGCAGCAACGGCTCGGTACATCGCCGTCGCCGAGAGAAATCCCTCCCTGCGCGCGCAGGGCCGGTGATTGCCTGTTCGTGTTCCTGCACCTACTTATTTGGTCAATTTATACCGAAACAGCTTTCTTGTCGACTCGTTCGTTTCCTGTACATGAATTATTTGCAGTTTACGATTTCCTCGGTTCGGTTATTTCCACCTCACTACCGTAATGCTTTCGATAAACATGACTTATTTATAAACTTTGTAGAGTATAATTTCAATAACTTATTTTTACTAAGTAGTTGACAGAATATAAACGATACAAGATGTCAAAGCACACGACAACCTCTTAGATTTTCATCAGCCATAATTTGGTTATGAATTTTTTTTTTACCTTCAGCAATAAATTGTGTGTGAGCTGTATTGTGAGCGCGCGAGAGTGCCCATGCCTCGCACAGCGCGCTCCACTGCTTCCGAAAACGATTGCAATTTTTACCGCTTACCTATACCGTACACTAACGTAATTATTTTGTCCCACTTTACTTACGTTATGTAATAATGAATGATAACGACAGGCGAGCGGCTGTGGATGAAACTTCGCTATTCATCCACTAGTCCACTAGTGGTGACGTGGTGTCGCTATGCCGAGATAGTCCACCACCAGCTCCAGTTCAGTCTCCATTGACTAATATGTATAGTGTATACTGATATCGACACTACGCTCACTGTCGAGTTGCTGTTTCTTGCTTTGGTTGTAGTGTTTCCCGAAAATATTTCATCAGATATGAACTGTCTCATTGCATTGCAAGCACCAATGTTTGAAAATAGAGCCAGTCGTCAGTGACTTAATGCTATTTAACAGAGTTGTTGCTAATGAAAATGCATGGTACAAAATCTTCAAAAATTGTATTAGTCACTAAATGTGGGAGAGCCATAATACAATTTATTATTAATAAAAATTGCTAATTGATATCACAACACTTGCGTCGTAACTTGTATTTTTTCGTGCGACTAAGGTTACCGGAGTCCCAATTCTTTCCCTCCCTGATCCCCAAATCTCCAGTCCTCAAATTCTTAACCCACAAAACGCAGGCAATACATTTGTAAATCCTCTGGTGTTGCGACGGTCCATGGACGGCGCCGATTGCTCAACATCAGATAACCCGTCTGCTCGTTTGCCCATACTTTTTATGGGCAATCAATAATCCTAGGGATTTAAAATTAAATACATACTTAGATATATTGCAAATATGTGTAGGTCGGTATCATGCAAATGTGCAACAAGTGTTTTAATAAATGAATCACTTGTAGATTTGGCACTAGTCACCTCATGTCCAGTTAGTAATAATTTATCAATATCATTAACATTCTATGGACGTGTCGCTGCTACAGTACCTAGTGATGTAATGCGATTACCATGTTCACGTAGAGCCGTTAGCCCGTGACTCAACTCATTTTGTAAACAAATAGTTCTTTATGGCTTTGAATCTAGATTCGTATAAGCAATGATAATGTAGCTTTTAATCGTTTCAACATTCGTCGATTATAGAAAATTGTGGGGAATACTGAGGGTGCTTCGATTCACGATTGTCTGCAGCAGCGCGCGACGCTCAGTGATGAACTGGCGAACGAGTTTTTCTTTAGATAGGGAAGGGCCAGATGTCCCTCGGCCCGAGCACGGGTGTCTGAGTATTGTCGTGACTCGCGGTACCGATATAACCGTGAGGGTGGCGCATGGCGGTCGTTCACTCGCTCGGTGCTCGGCGCTCGCAGCTGGCCCGCGCCGCGCCTGCCACACTCTCTGCTAGGGAAGTAGGGACGTGCTCACGTTGGGGTGCGCTGCGGGACTCTCACTGCTCTATTATAAGAACGTGTTACAACTACTAATTTAAGATTCATTGCCATCGTATTTACAATTTCTATTTTATCGTAAAAAATACTATAAATGTTATTACTTACCTATATTGTGATAGATACGCGTCAACTAATATTCAATTCAACAGGTGGTGCAAAACATTCATTTAAAGGTGCTGCATGGTTCAAAACGATTTAAATTATTTTTGTTCCTTTAAGAAAGCGCCTACTAAATGAATGTAGGTGCTAGGCATAATCATAAAATTGTTTAGAAACCGAAAATAGATCGTAATGGCGAGCGTTCCATTCACTCGTGTGTAGCTCGGTAGAGGTCGGCTGGGCGCGGCTGGCGACTTCCACCGCGAGCCTTCCATTCAGTACTCGCCTGGTGGCGCATGAGCTGCCGAGCTCCATTATAGAACAATTAATGCATGTTATTATACATATATTGGTATTATGCAAATTGCAATCGATCGGCAAAAGTTAGGTGGGTATCAAAGCAATGTCTTTAAACCACTTATTGTGGGAATCTCTGTCAGCTGTGGATCTTGCGGAGATAATGCATGGCCGATGGACGACACTGAGCCGTCGTGTGTCGCGTCACTCGGTTCTCGAGTATTGCACAAGCACACTTGTTGCGACTTGCGACACGCGCGCTATCGCTGCGACCTCCTGCTTCAGATACACATCGCTTTGATAACATATAGGTCTAGGTATAACAACTTGTAAGTTCGTGCCACGATTTATTTGAAAGAAAGTACGTCAAGCCAATAATTTCTTCTTTTAAATAAATTAGTTAACCGTTCCTACCACGATTTTGATAGTTTTCGATCTGCGGTAGGTAGTAGGTACTTGCATCTTTCATGGGAGATTTGAATTAACAAAGTAAAATCTCAATGAGAGATAATTACTTAAATAAGCAATGTCCATTACATACTCTATACCCCGTATACCCAATTCCCAAAATGCTGGCGAAGCACTAGTAACTCCTCTGGTGTTGAGCTGGTCTCCACCGGTGCCGATTACTTATCATTAGTTGTTCCGTTTGCTCGTTTGTCACCCTATTCTATAAAAACATGTTTCTGGAATGTGTCTATCTCGAATCATAATCATTTGCATCGAAGACACTTGAAATCTTGCCCGTCCTCGTCTTTTCGTAGTTGGTCCATCGCTGGACCCTGGGCCATGGGCCTCCTCTAATTAAGAGAGGTGTAACATGACTTCCATGTCGTCGTCGTCGTCATTTTTAAAGTGTACCTATTTTAAAAGTTCAATCACTAATAGTTGTAAAACAGATACAACTTGTGCCCATTTCGAGAAAGCGACACTGGTAGTAGCGCTATTTACCACATAGGTAGGTACTACGATATTATTCCATAAGAAATGACTTTGATCATTGAACCCAAATCTGATCAATGTAACATCTATGCGGCTATGCCTAGGCTTACTTACTAGTATCCAGCTCTCTATCGACTGCCAGCTTTGTCAGATTTCAGTTTGCAGTATTGGAAACCAGTGGTTCCGTTCCTAAATAATAAATGGTTTCATAGTTAGTAAAGAGAGTA